TTATACAACCTTGCTTACTAAAAGTGAAGAGGACTTAAAACATTTACTGATGAAGATCAAAGAGCATAGCCTTCGGTATGGATTATAACTCAATGTAAAGAAAACAAAAATCCTTACCACTGGACCAATAAACAACATTCTTATCAACGCAGAAAAGACTGAAGTTGTCAAGGACTTCATTCTTCTTGGATCAACTATCCACACTCATGGAAGCAGCAGTCAAGAAATCAAATGCTGTATTGCATTAGGCAAATCTGCTGCACAAGACCTTGTTAAAGTGTTGAAGAGCAAATATATCAGCTTGAAGACTAAGGTGTGCCTGACCCAAGCCATGGTATTTTCAATAACCTCATACGCATCCAAAAGCTGGACAGTGAATAAGGAAGATCATAGAAGAACTGATGCTTTTGAGTTATGGTGTTGGAGGAGAGTATTGAAAGTGTCATGGGCTGCCAAAGGAACAAACAGATCTGTGTTGGAAGAAGTGCAGCCAGAGTGCTCCTTGGAGGCCAGAATGGCCACACTTAGTCTCTCATATTTCGGACATATCGTCAGGAGGGATCAGTCACTAGAGAAGGATATCATGTTTGGTAAGGTGGAGGGTCAGAGAAAAAAAGGAAGACCCCCAGAGAGATGGATTGGCCAAGTGGCAGCATCGATGGACTCCAGTGTGGCAACAATTGTTGAGGTTGGCCCAGGATCGGGCAGCGTTTCGTTCTGCTGTGTATAAGGTTGCTATGAGTTGATACCGACTTGATTGCACCTAACAACAACAACAACAACCCTAGAACCATAATTTACATATTGAGCATTTCTCCAGCAAGACGCCTGCACAAAAGCAAGCGTCTTCATTTTATTTCTAGGCAAGAAGAGTATTCACTCCTTAAAATAGACATAACCTTACATTAAACAGCCACTACAAAGCTTATTTCTAACTTCAGAAAATAAACTGAAAAGCACTAAAATGTAAGTTGACTTATTAAATTATAAAACCCAGTTAGCTTTCTAAACCTGGAATATAACAATTATTTCTACCCTTTAAGAGCCATAG